TCAGGTTAAATTTCGAATAAACGAAAAAATCGAATACTTCAGGTTAAATTTCGAATAATCAAAATACGATAAATTTGGTCATCACATTGTCAAATTATTCAAGGTCAGCCAGTCAACACTATGTATTATATGATGAGCGCTATCATCAGTAAGAGGAGAGAGACAATATAAAATAAGAAACTGTCTATTTTTTAAATTTTATGATGCATTCTGGTCTAGCTTGGGTTGAGCCATACCAATTTAAAGTACGGTTAACAAACGTTTGTACCAAAGCTAGTAAGGTGAACGTCATCAAATCTTTAACCTGTGTGTCTGTTTGATGTAGGTTTTACACGCCTCCTTGTCCAGGAATATGTATTCTTGTATGGGATAATCTAGACAGTAAATGGCTATCAAGAACTCTAAAGTAAGTCAGTATTACAACTTTTATCATTGAAGTGCGACCCGTAAAGTTCAATATCTCGTTTGCCTGACTAGCATTTCAACGACCGTCACATGGTCAAAGAACTGAAATTGAAATTTTTAAGAAAACTATCTTTAGGGAAATTGTAGACTGAATTAAAGATTTTAACTCTCTAGTCCTCAAAATCTTTTTAAAGATTAAAATTCCGTCTAAAATTTCTCTCAAGATATTGTTTTTCTTGATTGCGGTTCTTTGATTGACGGTCGTCAAAATGCTATTGCAAACGAGACACTAAACTGCGGGCGCACTTCAACGATAATCAATAATAGTAACGTATTCGATCTACCTCATGAGGGAGGTGGGGGAAATGCCTGACCTAATGGACCTTCTAAAAAATTGTTGATGTGATGCTAACATTTTTGGTTTTTGCACACGTGCCTCGTCTTTACTTTTATTCGACTTGCGATATTACAAGAAATCACGAGAAACACGAGGATTACGAGCAATGCGACCGGGKGGGGGGGGGGGGGGGCAATTACATGGTATTTGCCTAACACTTTTACTTCAAGACTTAATTACTTCACGAGGATTACAAGCAATGCGAGTGGGTGGGGGGGGGGGTGGGAGGGACAATTACATGGTATTTGCGTAACACTTTTACTTCAAGATTTAATTACTTCACGAGATTAAAACGTGGCGAAAATTTCATATATAAGAATTTATATTGCAGTTCAATGCTTTATCCAACCAAAAGTGCGCGGAATGAAAGGCACCGTCATGCACGTCACATAGTCAGGATTTTCAGAAGGGGGGGAGGGGGGGGATGCAAATTAAAAAGTCCGCCGACCAAAAACAGGGGGCCGGCATTACGTTTAAATTTTGCAAAACTTAGGAAAAGGAAATGAAAATTACCGCATAAATTATAAAAAGCCACTATTTTTTGGCACGAAAGGGGGAGCATCACCCCATTGGACCCCCCTGCTTACGCCCTTRCAATTATTGGTAAATTTGTTCTAATTTCTTACTTAGGTATCAAGTGATTGTAAGCGAAGCAGAAGCCGATTCTGAAGAAGAAAATAATTCCAATGGGATAAATCACAAGCGTACGGCAGTTGGTACTTACGTTTAATGAATTTAAAACATCTTGATTGATCTTGGTGTTATGGAAGGTACGTTTTTCATTGGGGTTGGAGGTCGAGAGCAGGACTTGCCGTAAACTTTAAAAAAATGGTCGTACCCCCTCCCTCACATCACTCAGTAAGAAATACGTCCCTCCTATTAACTCGACAAGGAAATAGCTTTCGTCAAAATAAAAAAAAAAGTTTGACCCTCCACAAATTTCAAATTTTTACTAGACTCTCCTTTCTGAAACCCCACCCCCCCCCCCCAATAAAAAACGCCCCTACCCACCCCCAATAAAAAACGTATCGTTCTTCCCTCATAGGACAGTACTTTGCATTGTGCAAGGCAGGCCGATCTAGAGGGCATTCACCAGGGAGTAATGCTGTGCTTTTTTTAAAGCAATATGTTTTGATATTTTGATATCAGAGATTGATTGAAGCTTTTAAAGCATGCTTCATAATTATTAGTTTAGTAATATATTTGCGTATTCATTAATGCTTTAAGTTAAGGCAAGCAAAAGTCAAGGCAGGAACTTGTCTCAATGTTATCCAAAGAACCACCTTAGGTACCCCTACACCCACTTGTCACTTATCACCACCGCAAACACCACCTTTACTATTACCCAACTTTTTTCAACTATCATTACGCTTATTGCTATCCAACTTATCAACTATCGCTTCCGATACCACTATACTACCACACTCACTAACCTCCACCATCACTCATGACCCCATTCAGTAATATTACTACCACTATTCCCACTTGTCACAACCACTAACAACACCTTTACTTCTACTCCAACTTTTCACCCACAACCACCTTTCCTACTACTCTTCCCACTTGTCTTTCACTACCACACTCACTAACCACCACCATCACTCATGACCCCATTCAGTAACATAACTACCACTACTGCCACTTGTCAGCAACCACGAACGCCACCCATAATATTGGTACGCCTTTTTATACGCTACTACAGCTGTATCATTACTACCACCTATGCCACTTGACACCCACCACTACAGATTAATATGTTCATTTGGGAGTCCCATCATCATCACTACCATTATATCTACCACTTATTACTACTTATAAACCTAACAATAGCCCTCGTAGCATGTACAGTAATTACACATATTGAAAATCAGGAAGGGATTCAACCAAGTGATAATGTTAAAGCAGTACAACCAACCATAGTTTAATTCTAAGAATTTAATGAACTGTTTGCAGATATTTGCAATAATTTAATGAAATGTTTGAATACAAATTGAAAGCAAAATATTTAACATTCACCCACGTGTTTATACTCAGTACATTTATTTAAATTCTGAAATGTTGCAGATTTTTTTCTTAATATTGTTGCAGAACTGGCAGAGCAATGTATGTTACTGATCTGTGAGCTTATTCAATGACTTCAAAAACTAAAAAAAAAAATTAAACATGAATAAAAAAATTTGTGTAAATCCAAACATACGTAATAGGAACAAACTTAATTTCCAGTGAGAGATACTCTTTTGCTATTCCATATTTAGAATTATCTATAAAATTATGCATATATTCTAGATGGATTCACTTGACTAGAGTTTAGAATAGTTAAATAAAGTTAAATTTAGTTCCAAACTTGTTACTCTTCTGCATTTTGGTTGCAATATTGTTGGTAGTGTTTTAGCTTTGGCTGCTCAGTTCCCATCATAGTTGGTATCGTTGTTATTATTCTTGTTGTTGCCATTATGTCATAGAACCGTTTGAACCGTTGTCATAGAATAGTGTCATTTGAATACACCTAATCGGGTAACGTGTTGCTATGTACATTACCACCCAATTCAAACCTTCTGGGAATAGAAGCGTTTGTCTCTACGAATTCAACTGCGAAACCAAAATATAACGAACAATGAAACTTACTCCCATTGTTTGAATTGGGTGGAAATGTTTATAGCAACACGTTAGCCGATTAGGTTTATACCACTACCAAAATGCTATGCAAATTATTTTTTATTTAAATTTGTATTTCTTCATGACCATAGTAAGACTATTGGTGCTAATTAACTGGGCAAAAGAAAGGGTGCAAGGGATTCTGGTAATTGTAGTTAATGATGCCACATCTTTATCATTGTTCTCTTTGCAGTTATCATGTACTATTATTGTTAATGTTGTTGTAGCTGTTGTTCAGTTTAGATTTAACAGTTCTTGTCATCTTGATTATTGGTGTTGTCACAGTACAAGATAAGGTGCTGACATACGGTGCATCATTGCACGCAACATTGCAAGCAACAAATTTTAATTGGGGTGACACACATTGCAACAAAATCACACCACATGCTATGTTAAGATATATGGTCAGCAGTTATAAATTTGGTGCAAGCTGATTGGCTGGAAATTTCAAAACGTTGCATGTGATGTTGCAGCCATGTTCACATGATGAAATTTGTTGCGCACAATGTTGCAAGAGCAGAGCAAGATTCAACTTCAGATTTGTTGCATGCAACGTTGCGTGCAACAAGTTTGGCGTAGACACACGCTACAGCATTCCTGCTGCATGCAATGTTGCACTGTGTGTCAGAACCTTTATTGGCATTGTTACTGCTGGTGTTGTTGCAGTCGTGGTTAGTATTGTTGTCAGTTCCCTTGTTATTCATGTCTTTGGCAGTGCCGAAGAAGATAACAATAACTTAAGGCAAATGCCACTGTTTTTGTTTATTATAATTTTTCTTGTGATTGTTGGGTATCATAGTTAAGGCGCAATTACACAGAGCAATTTTCTCTGAAGTTGTATGGAGCATTGCAGCGTGTAACCTACAGCACAATTTGAAAAATGTTGCCAGACAAGTTGCAGCAGTTATTGCCAAAAGTAGAAACTAATTCTACTTTCCCCAACAATTGTGTCTCCATTGCAACTTGTAGACACTCTTGCAACTTGTGTCACAACGTTGTTGCGAGACAAGTTGCAGAGAAAATTGCCCATGTAATCGCACCTTTAATCTCTATAGCAACTTAGAATGCCAATCAGTACTAACAAGACATAAAACACATTTCACAACATAAATAGGATCACTCTACTCTAAACCTGTATCTGTGGCAATTTCTTTGGAACATTATGGCGTTTTTCTTGCAGTATTTTACACTAAATAATTATATCTGTGGTACTTGTATCACATCCTCCTTGTCCAGCAAGCTCAACTTTTCATCACCAATCACACTTTTTTTCTGCAGAAAAATAAAATTGGGTTAAGTTTTTTATTTTATTTGAACACTCCTATATGAAACATTACCCCCCCCCCCCATAAGAAACAATGAAACAATCACTAACTAAAGGAGAACAATGACCCTAACTTATATTTCTCATTTGTACCTTCTTCATTTCTTTCCATCTTCCTGCGTTTATCATTTTCAGCATTCAATGGCTTCAGGAATTTCTGGAAAGTCTTGACTGCCTTAAATAATGATGTCTTTTCATATGCTAAAGAAAAAAATAATACTAAATTTAACTGCTATTTCCATAATAATCCATGCTGAAATTTGGTTATTTGCTGCTACCAGTCAAAAATATGAAAGGTACTGATTGATTAGTTTTGGATTACAGCAGCAAAAAATCTAAATTTCAGCGCACATGTTTATGAAAATAGCAGTAAAATAAAAATGCAAACGAAAAAAAAATCTCTTGATTTTACTTCATACAACCCATTTGTAATGTTGTAATTTTATATCATGTTATTTAGATCTTATTAACCGAGCGGGAGGTCTGTATGGGATAATCTTGACTGAGGTCGGAATGTACAGACCGAGCGCAGCGGGTCTGTACCCGACCGAGGTCAAGATTATCCCGTACAGACCGACCAAGCTCGGTTGATAAGAGTTTTATTATATGACCACTTTTCATTGAAAAGGACAAAATGTTTTCGCCGTAAGATTAATATGCAATCGGACCGGTTAATACCGGAGAATCTAGACCAGTCCGCRATGCGATCTATCCAATCAGATTGCTCGATTTGCTAGTGTCCAGGCTCTAAGATTCACGTTCATATAATAATATTGTTTGTAATAATTATCATATTATTATTTTATGACTTCAACATACACATGTATCAAAATTACTTTACAGTGTGTATCCAAACAACCATACACATGTAACAAAACAATATATATACACCATGTATTGGAAACAGACGTAATGAAACAACTGTTATTCATGTTTCTTAATGTGCAATGGGCAAAAGTATGTTAAACCAATACATTTCGATGCAAAGCTGGTTGGTTTCATGAAGGCTTGTATATTATGCTCGTTTGACGGCAAAAGCCCATTTATAAATAGAGTTTTCCCATTACCTGGAAATTTTTTCTTTTTTTCTGCTGTGTTGTTTTCCATTGACTCAGAAAGGTTATTCATATCATAGTCATCTATTTCTTCTAAAAGTTGGCTACACATTAAATAAAACATTACTTCTGTTAAAATGTGTTAAGTGGGTCTTGGTCCTATACACAACTCAACATGCTAAATGCAATTCTATTTGTGACTTACAGTAGCTGTGCCCTGACTATGATCAGACCAGAGGTTGTTTCAGGGTTCTATCTGTGAGTTAGCCATGCCCTGACATAGAATCAGCCCAGAGGTTGTTTCAGGGTTCTATCTGTGAGTTAGCCATCTCCTGACTTAGATATGCCCAGAGGTTGTTTCAGGATTCTATCTGTGAGTTTGACATGCCCTGACTTAGATCAGCCTAGTGGTTATTTCAGATTAGCAATAAAATTGTGAAGTTACTTTACCTGATAGTCGGCACTGTAAATGGATCAAAAGAGTCTGCTTCATCAATATCAATAGGCACACACACCCGACCTAAAAAGAAAAATATACACTTGAAACTAAGATCTTAAGTTAGGAAAGATGGCTTCTGTCCTGAAAAATCAACGACAGTGACTAAGATAAGACATGGGCTGCGTACTTTTAGGTAAAAACAACAACAAATGAACAATAAGTCCAAACAAAAAAATAAGTGTGTTTCCTGTTGCGTGACCAACCCTAATTTTCTTGCCGATTTTTGTCAACCCTAATATTTTTTCATTCCCAAATGAACCACAGGGTTCTCAGCCAGTAAGCTCATTCGTTGTATCAGTAAAAAAAAAAAAGGAAAAAAATCTACCAACCCCAATTATTTTTCTCATGCAACAGGAAACACACACATTTTTTAGTCTGGCCTAATGGGAAACCATTCCAGACTGTTCATCTTATAGTTGTTTGTTGGTTCTGTCCTGTACTTGGAGGGTTTTCTCAAGGTTTTTTGGTTTCCCTCCCTACAAAAATCAACTTGTAAATGCCAATTCAACGATAGCATGAGGGCAACAATTCTTAACCAATGGCCATCCTCAACAACACATCGAACAAACTTGTCTACTCAAGAATCAAACCAGTAGCTGTTGGACTTAAGTGGTGATAGCTAACATCTTACCACTATATCGCAGTTTTTGTATGACTGAAAAATTTGGTGCAGTATGGATGCCGTAACATGACCTTAATGTTTTCTAGAAATGTGATTGGTCTGGCATTGACTAGACTTTGGCCTGACTGTGTCCACTCCATGTTCACGCCATGTTCATGCAATGTTTTGGATATTTGACTGGATGAAGAGAAAATTCTTGTTCAATGTGCTTGGTATGGTGTACCCCATGCAGCATGTCACGACCATGTTTGTGCCATGCCATGTGCTTTTTCTACCTTTGCCACACACAATTAACATGCCAACTAACCTGTCTTTGGGTGAATGCAAAAGGGGCTCTTCAACAAATGGTTTAGTCCTTTAGTGACATTAACATCCAGACGAGGGTATGTGTACTGGAACATAATCTCTGTTTCTGTATCCTTCAGACTTATTTTCTAGGGAGAGAAAATTGAATTGCATTTAAGAAAGAGAAATCACATGTTGTTAACTAAGACAGTAATCAATATATCCTTACTGTAGTCTGCATTCCTTCTTTCAAATACTTCCATCTGTCTAATGTGGATTCGCTTGATGAGGACCACTCTTTTTCAAGCTGGGCTTTAATTGGTGAAGAATGTTAAGGAAATACCATCACACTGAATCATAGTCAATTTCTGATTTTTTACAATCTAAAGTTTCAATCTACGTGCAGGACCAAAACTACAAAATGATAGTGCCAATCTTTAAAGGGTAAAAATTCACACTCATAGTAAGTTGTTCTAAAGGTCCCTACTATCAGCATCATCACAACCACAATCATCACAACCATCAATGTCAATAACATACAGTGCTGTACAACTAGTACATCATCATCAATAACAACAACAAATCACTGCAAACATAACTGAACAACAGCAGAAACCTCACCAATGACAACACAAAAATACCTTCAAGTAGTAAATGTGAAGCTAACAGCATTATTATGAAGTGTTAAAAGGATATAATCATCTGGGATCAGGGCAAGCACTCCATCCCATCTTTCTTTGCATGACAGAATTTCCTGGTCACTGAGAATATGTTTGACAAAATATTTCTTCACAACTTTCTCAGAACGCCTGCAAAATATGAAGGTTTTTTTCATTGGAATGTCAAATATAAAAATCTCTTAACTAGAGTGCTAACAATATAACCGTGAAACTTTAGTAATACTAAATAGCACAATTTCATGTTAAGTCCAATGTTTTCTATTGTTTAATTAGCACTATTTTGTACTATTTAGTAATTAGTGTTTCACAGATTAATTGTTTGCACTCTATTAGATAATAAAGCCTGAAAGGATCACTCAAAGACTGCAAATGCAAACACAAACATGAGCTAAACCAATATACATGTAAATGTGGTTTTCTAACTTTTCAATGCCAAAACTTTTCTTGTAATTTATATCCTGAAGAAATTGAAAGAAAGGCAAGTTTTTTAAGGGTGTCCTACATTGTAAATGTGTTCTTTGGTATTAGACGATGGAGATGGAGGTGCAAAAATTAATCCTTCTGTTGAACTTTCTTTGCAACATGCCTTATACACATGCATACACATGTTAACTCTAGGAATGGTACAGTACAAAACATCCAGATTACATACTGCAGGTGTGGATGAAGAGGTGAACGTAGATTAACCTTCTTTGTCTTACTGTCCCCTCCCTTGACAACACTGAGGTACTCGGCAACAGCTGAACGAGCACTTTGGGAAAGCTTCCTGGCAGCTTCGTCACAAACCCAACAATGAACTCCACGGCGACCACTGTATACCCACAATCTATGCTGAAAACCAAAGTCGTCTATTTGGAAAAAAATAAAAATATTTGAGTTAAACCAGAGAATCTAGAGAAAAAGCTCAAAACAACAAGGAGTCAAAGCATTGCTGACATATGATCCTACATGGCCACAAAACAAAACCAAAGTCAACCTTTGTTTCGAAAATAAAATAAAATAAAAAATATTAATATTAATGTTAAACCATAGAATCTGAAGAAAGAGCTCAAGACTAAGAAGCTGTGAAATACTAGTTGCTGACACGCAATCCTTTATTTAATAAGACCAGGAATTAAACCCTGCAACATTCAGAGGTATGAGAAAGAAGTACAGTATGCTGCCATAACACCTTGAAATTCTCTATAGTTGAGCTATACATTTTCACAATCATATCACCAACACATCCATCCTCTGGCTTTTTGGCTCTTTTCGATTCAGAAGTTACTAACCCAGACCTTTGGTAATTTGATTGACGGAAGCAAAAAACCCAGACATCTCAAATTATAGCTAGTTGCCTGGGTTGCATAATTACGAAAATGGGAATTAGCATTGGTGAAATACCTTTAAGCGCTTTATCCAAGATTTTCATGGCAACAACCATAAAGGTCCAACACTTTGGACAAATCTCAGCTCCCCTGACAAAGAATATTTAAAAATGTCAACCCAAGCTGTAGGGATCATATGGCTGCCGTAAGTTTTAACCTCATTAAGCTGTGTCACTACTGTACTTGTGGTGGTGACTAGCGATATAACAACACTTCTATGAAAGAAATTTTACTGTAGTGCACTAAAATTAAAGTAGCAATTTTTACTTATAACTGTGCGTGGACTAAGATGACACCAAAGCTAACATCCTGCTCCAGAAAAGCAATCATTACAGCAAGGATTCCTACCATTCCACAGTCCACCACAGAGTTTGCAAAAATTGATATGACTCCATTGAGGTAAACAAAAAGGTCAATTGGTTCCAAGAATCTGCTCAGAATTTCAAATAACACTTCTTTTTTGCCATAAACCCCTTTTAGATTTTGGAAATGACTCCATAGTCACTAAAGGAAATTTGAAATCTCTAACCAGTTGTGTCTTTCATATATTTTTATTTTTTATTTTTTTGCCAACTGTCTCGTTTAGCCTATGGCTATTACGAATGGCTTGTACCAATAATTTTCTGTATTTTTGCTGTTTAGTTTATGTACTTTTTCAATCGTGGTACTAAATGAAGATTGATTGATTGATTTTATAATGCATATACAATATGTGGCATCTTGTGGTAGATAAACTTACTTGCAGCAAGTCCTGATTTCATCATAATCTGTCATGTCAATATCAAAGACGAGCTCCTTTTCCACTGCCTGGAAGGAAGCTGCTTTGATCATCTTGTGGTCCTTGGGCTAAAACAAAAAACAGCTTTTTAAGGAATTTGCCCTTTACTGAAGGCTGGTAATGTGATTCATGACATTCATTCAGCTGTTTAATACCAAGCAATAGAATACTCTCTGGTTAGCACATAACGCAAAGATTTGAGATCTATAAGATTTAATCAGCTACTGCATCTGATGGTGAAAATGATTAATATTAATATTAATATTATTATAATTATCATTATTGATTTCAATAATAGGAAACAACTAAAAATATTCAAGATCAGTCAAGAGGGCAGAAAAAAAATTTGACCTACAAACAAGATCGCCACAAGAAAAAAAGACTTTCTTCAAAAAAGGACAGATATATTGGACTCACTTCAATATTTTTAAAAAATAAACACATACTAGAAAATAGAATTTTTAATGTAATATTTTTAAGAAATAAAATTTAAATTTCAGGACGAAGCGTTTATGAGGTCTCCTGGGACTTGTGAGGTACCCCAAGGAGTAAAAAATGTAATAATCTAGGCATTGACAGGAGTATTCTACAATAAGCTTTAATACCTTGTGGGTGAAGACTGCTCCTATATCGATCTTATAGGGATTACGCTTTTGAATCTCCTTCTCCATTTCTTCTTGACTCGAGAACGACTGATACCGAACATAGATATCATCCTTTAGTGTGAAAGAGAATTCTCGATTCTGGAAGTAATTTTTCGGGACTGTCGAACAAGAAAGACGAAGGTAAGCATCATGTAGCATCGTAAACATCAACTTTGACTCGTAAAATTCAAAGTTTTCTGAAATTTCTAGAGCTTACCACATCCATAGCTAAGCCACTGATAGTAGTACTTGTAAGGAAAAAGCCTTTTGTAATATTGTTGAAGCAGTTCTGGAAGATCTGACTGACTGAACTGAATTTGGGATGAAGAAACTTTATCTTCTTTGTCCGCCATCTTGGATTAAGATTTCCCGCCAAAATTCTCGCTGAACGCGCTCGCCGCGCATCTTGGGATATGAAAACACAGGGAGCCCAAGCTAAGCAAACTACATGTTTAATTTTTTCCTTCTTTTCTCCTTTTCTTTATTCCGCCGCTAGTGGATTTATGAACATTCTTTTTAAATTGGCAGTCATGCTGCACGCTTCCTCTCTGCTATATACGAGGGTGCCAATGGGGTTAGTAGTTAACTGACAATTGGCCAAAAAGAAAAAAAAAAAAAAGTAGTTAACTGACAAAAGACCTAAAATTAGTAGTTAACAGGTAACTGTTTATTTCATGATTTTGGTTGCATGTAATATTGTGGCCAGCGCTCGTAAAATTATCAACTGACATTAGGCTGAAAAACTAGTAGTTAACTGACAATTGGGTACCCCCATTGGCACCCTCAACTGCACCCGAGAGTTTCTCGTAGGGAAAGTTTTTTGCTATTTTTTCGCCGATATATTATTCTTTCGGGGTATTTTTCGCTATGGGAGACTTTGCTAGAAGGAAAGCAAGCTTTGTACGATTCTCCTTAAATAACCTTATTTTCCATAGTTAGCCTCGATGGGTCGATGAATTAGTGCCCCTCCCCTCCATATTCTTCATAAAAAAAACTTAGGTTTCTTACTGACACTAATTTAGCTCATTAATTGTTTCGGTCCCGCCCATGTAATTGATAATATTAATTCGCTCTAGAACGTGTTTTGACGATAACGATCGCACAGGATTTTTCTAGCTCATTTTGACGATCGCACGATGCCACAATCCAAATTTCGTCTCTCAGGTAATTGTTGATTTGTAGTCTTCTTTTAAAAAGAACTCAGAGCGAAAAGAAAAAAAAATACATTGCAGCGTGCACAAACCGGCTGTCATGATTTTGCCTTTTAGCCCGGACCACACGTTTCCAGATATATTTTTGAAAACGAAATTTTTTTCTTTGATGATTGGCCTTGGAAACGGAATTTTTTAAAACGCCGATGATACGCGGTGTGGACGGTGCCGAAAACTTTAGAGTCGTTAACCGTTAATTACAGATTACTTTTTGGTCTCGTTGYTGTACTTTAAGAGGATTGTTGATCATTGGTTTAGAGTTACTCTAGATCTCAGATACTAATTGGTCATAGAACTCGAAGCATATAGTCGCACTAGTTTATCACCCACTGACCGTCTATCGATGGAAAAGAATTCTTGTTCAGTTAGCGAGAGGAAGAGAAAGATGGGCGTGTCGTCAAGCATCTTCTTTCCACTGCTAGGTGACGCGCCTCCGTCCACTTCCCATTGGAACTCGACTGTTACTCCTCAACTTTGTGGGAAAGAATCGATTGGAAATGAAATAAATGAAAGTGTAAGCTTTATATATCCTGAGAACGAAGCGGCGGGCGATTCAAATGTACACAGAAAGAATTCCTTTGGATTGACTTCTAGCGGTTCATTAGTTGTTGAACAAAGATTATCAATCCTTAGATTGGATGATTTATACACTCAAAGTGGTCGCGCACTGAAGAAGGCAAGAGCTAAAAGTTTGCCGATGTTATTCAGCTACGCTACTCAAAAATGTGCGCCAATGGAGTACCAGTCAACCCCAAAGCTGGCCGATACACGAATGACTGTATGTTAGGAAATATGAAAGATCCAGGAGACAAGACAAGTAACTACGCTATTGAAGAATGTCAACGGAATACGGCGTCTAAATGGGAAGACACTAACACACAGAACCAACCATCCCCAAGTCTCAGTCTCCATCAACACAGCTCTCCAGGGACGAGGACCAAGAAAGAAGTGGTCAATCTGATCTATTCGGTCATCGCATCAAAGCGATATGTCCAAAAAGTCAAATTTGTTGGAGTTCGACACAGTCTCAAGAAGAGGTTCTTCGGAAATAGAAGGAATGCTACCTGTGAAGAACTGGAAAGCAAGGAGCTAAAGAATGACCGACAGACGCTGGCAATGTCGAATCTGTCCGCAAGCCGTGCTCCCGTGATAAATTGTTTTTGTTATCGGTCGGTCGTGCCCAACAACTAGCAACTAATGAAAGGTGCGTGTATAACAACAACACTTCTGTCTTCGTAGGAGGACTAACAAAGAACTAGTGTCAGTATAGTTATAAAAAATTTAAAGTTTCTTTCTTATTCAACACACCAACACACCACTTTTGTATTTAACACACCAACGCAGTCCTAATTCACGTGACCACTAGTATTGTTAAAAACGTTTTTACAGGGCGTTTAAGTTTCCTTATATTCACTTGTCGTATTAAACACACCAACACAGTGCCAACTAGTAACCATTAGTCATTCTCTTTCACTTGTCGTATCCAACACACCAACACAATGCAAATTAGTAACCACTAGTCATTGTTATTCACTTTTTGTATTCAACACACCAACAGTCCCAACTAGTACCCGTTAGCAATTTCAACTTTCCTTATCGGGCAACTCATTTTTTTTTCATAAGGCGAGGTCAGAAATTGCTTCAGTAACAGCAATACAAAATTATCTTTTCCTACTATTTCAAAACTCGATGCAAACCCTCCGGTTAGCTCATGATCTTTTTTCTATCATTTCAAAACTTAATGTAAACCCTGCTAGGAATCTTCCTATTATTTCAACATTAAAAAAATCCTGCAACTTGCCTCGCTTTCATGTGTACATGACCCTTCTCTTCCTAATCTTATACAGAAACGAATAAACATGACTTTTATTCTTAACACAATACATACAGGTTTTATTTTCAATCAGATCAATATTAATCAAAAACATTTCCCTCAACTCATGCAATAATGCAATTATTACACTTAAAGACTTCTAATCAGACCAACAAAAAATAGGTTTCTGCTGTAGACTCAAGYAATTACACTTGGAAACTTTTAATCAGACCAACAAAAAAATTATGATTTTGCTGTAGATTTTTTATCTATTGACAGGTAAGTTAAGCAACAAGTTTTGCCCCCCAGGAAGGTAGGCAACGTTACGAGATTTTGACATTCTTTCTGATATCTCTTCGGCAGCTTCAATCTTTCGAAGCTCAACAAGACCCTCACCAGCCTCCTTAAAAGAACTGGCAAGCAGCTGGGCACCTCGGGCGTCTCCTTCAGCGGTGATGACTGCAGCTTTCTTAAGTTGCTCGGCCTAGAAAATTTAATGAAATTATTATTATTTCAATAAGAATACTATTATAATAATATTATTAAATTATTATTATCATCATCTCATTATTAGAATTTTGATAGGTAAAATCTTGTTAATGTTCAGATAGAAATCACTTAAAATTTTATGATATCCAAGCTTTTTGGTTCCAGCTTTGCATGCTATGATTGGCTTAAAGAATAATGTCATTTCTGATTCAAATACAGTCATTATGAAAATGGGTCTAACAAAGAACATGAAATACAGTAATACTGCACCTGTAATAAGTGAACCCCTTATTAAAGACCCATTGCCACTTACCGTGATGCACCGCGGTCACGGATGAATTTCGTGGTCCATGAAATTCAAAGATTCATATATTGAATAATAACATCATATAAAATCCTTTTCCGACATAGCACTAAGGCACAATAATTATTCTATTACATTATTTTATGGCTTTAGGGACTATTTAAGAGTTTATTCAAAAGGTTGGAATTGTTTTTTCAGTGGTGACACGATTCAGAATGTAAACAAATTGTGATGCCTCACGGTAAGTGGCAATGGGTCTTTAAGTAGACGCTCTTCATAAACAAACAGCTAGTTGCAAGATCCTGAATTGTTAACAATTTTTACTGTAAAAAATTAAAATGTTACTTACTCTTTCCACAAGGAACCTGGCTCTCTCTGCCTCTTGCTGAGCTGTAGACCAAAAGTAACAGTGTACCATTAAACACTGACAATATTTATATTGACATACTTGACTAGAATTCCTCCCTCCAAAGGAATTGAAGCTGGTTTGTATCTCCAGATAGGGAAATAAATCAACCACATATGTATGTGGTATATAGGCAAATGTTGCTTACCAACTTGTTTTAACTCTACAGCCTCTGTGAACTCTCTGCCAAATGTTAAATGAGTCTGTAAAGAGAACATTGTTAGCTTTATAGTAAACTTATAGGAATTGATGATGCTCTATTAATATCATTAAAAACAGACAGACAATATAAATCACATTTTCTTACCAAAGATATATCATCTAGTGTGATGCCGAAGCTAGCGGCACGTTCTGTCAAGTCTTCCTGGACTTTTTGAGAAACCTGAAAATAAATACAGTAAGTAATATGTAGATAAGACTAGTAATAGATAATAGAGGGCAAAGGTATTGTAGTGATAGATATGTAAAGGTAAATTATAGTGCTAAAAATATATACCAGGCATTGCTCTTAGAATATGCTGGTGAAAAAAATCCCCGACCCTGATGGGTTTGATCCCATGAACCTTGATTACAATCGATTTGTTGTAGTAATGGTGTACTGTTACTGCCCTTAGCCTCTGATGGTTTAGTAGGGTTTGATTCCTGGACTTGGCAATACACAATAAACATCACAACTATCGCTGCAAACATTTTTTCAAAATAAAATCTTACTCACCAATTCTCTTTGTGTAATAAGTTCACCAGCATCAAACTGGGCCTGCAATTTCAGAAGCACAATAAAATGAGATAGGAATAAAAAAATTATTGGAAGACACTGAGCATTTCAGGCAATCCAACCATTTGTGGAAGGGAAGAGCCAGCAGACCTTTAACGTCTATGAGGATGGGGTGCACATTGATTATGGGCCTACACTTTTGTCAAGTAAGCCATGTGCCTGCAGGTGTTGATCCAGGATATTTAAAAGGGGGTGACTGTTTCAAGATATCTTACAACAATATCACAGGAAATCCATAATAGGTGGGAAAATGGTGAAAAAATAGTCTCAATTTGACGGAAATTAAATTTTACAATGTATAACTTCAAGTAAACTGAGTGCAAGGTCATCTGGATTAATGATTTCAGAAATGAACATTTTTTATTTGTGCAAATGGGGGGAGGGGAGGGGTGACTGGGTATGCCCCTGGATTAATGTTTTAGGCTTCAATATAAACCAACTTACCACAACAGCTTTAAGAACTTCTGTAGTAATGGACGGCAATACTCTTTCATCGTAATCCTCACCAAGATTCATATATATCTTGGGTAGGACCTGTGGTTGAGGTCTGAACAGAATTCTGAGAGTAATGTTGACAGTCTGCAGATCTGAGAGAAAAAAGCATCATGTATCAACCTGATCTGAAGGTTTACCTTGTTCTATGTACAGTACACTACTATTGTAAAAGTTATTTGCAACTTGATGCTAAGATCTTAAAGAATTTTTGGCTACATATTTTTGCCTATCAGAATCAGGGACAAGTGTGGGTAAAGTGGTAGCTCCCCTTTAAGCCTACATTTCATTGGTGCCCCTCTTAAAATTGTAGAATATTAAGAGGTATATTGCTTGTTGGACTTCTCCTGTGCTTCGTGGGTTTTACTCCAGTATTTCTCCCTCTGAAAAAATTACAACATGCAGCTGTTCATGGCATATTGTATTATCTATTTATTGATTAAAAAATTGCAGTAACTCTTAAATTCCAATTGGATTCTCTGTTGGCTTTAGTCAGGAGCCTACGGCTCTGGAGACTAAGCAATCACTCCCTACACGTTTAATGTAACATGAATTATTACATGCCAATTTTTACCATTAGAGTAATTATTATTAAGATATCAAGATACACTGTATCACAATGTATCAATTGTTTTAGATTGTGTTACGGCCACCAAAAAGTTCTATGAATATACTGACTCTAAATGAACTATTTACTTGGTTAATGTTTAGTTAGTTCTCTATATACAAGTAAATGATCATTTTTCTAACTTGATTAAAGCTTTTCTTACTGCTGTTAAGATAGCTAACTAAAGAAATCCACCTAAATTTTCTCTTTAAAGTCAGAGAATTTGTATGGAAATACGAGAACGATATCCGAACTTTTTGGTGACCGTAACACGATCCAAGCTAGCGCTGAAAAGGTGAATTTTCATTTACCTTTGCTACCAGTAGTGACAGGGACATTTCTTGGCTTGGTCCGGATATCAAATATGATTGGTCTTTGAACCCAAGGGATTAAGAAGTGCGTTCCTTCTCCAATTACATCAGGTTTGACTCCCTGAAACCTATCAAAGATTACACCACGATGTCCACCATCCACTGAAAAATATCAAACAATAGAATATTAATAATTGGAACTCAAATTGGATTACAAACCAATGAATTTCAGTTCTCGTAAGAGAGTAGTATTTTAATCACTTAACAAAGGTACCAATGTAGTAAACAAATGAATTACACTCAAGGAAATTACCTGTGGTCTGAAACGAAATTCCAGCTGAGCAGAAGCTAGGTTTAGCTGTTTATAGCTCGTTTAGGTGTTTTGCCACCTGCCCTCATTCCCAGGCTATTGTAACCCAACTTTTGCATATTTTTTTTTCTTTTAACTAAAGTATAATATACATGCCCACAAAAAGCGGAAATATGGCAAGAAAAAATAAAAACAATTTCGCTTTACTGCCACGTTTGCTTCAATCTTTCAAGCTCCAAAAATGCTTAGGGCATTTTGTCCACTTATGCTTTGCGTGCCAGGTTCAATGCTCAGCTGGTTCGGTGTACATGAATTTGACAATGTAAATGTTGAGGGGGGAGGGATTGGCAATAATAATCTGAATTTCACTTTTTTACATTACCCATATGAAAAACATTTTCTCACATATAAATTCAAGATTTAATTTGAGCAAAATATTTGATTTGAGCAATCATTTTCTGTATTGCTTGGCCATGCCTTTCAGATATTAACAGAACATCACATGTAGGCATGCAAGCCTTAAATATATTCCTCATACATTTGTTCAAATCATTAGTACACTATTATTACATATAGAGGTCGTGGATCAATTGTTGACTTGTTTTATAATAAAGAAATGAAAAGTCTTCATTTATCTTAGATATTGCATAAGATATGCATCATCCCAAATGGTAATCATATGGATTTCAAATTCCTGTGAGTTCAGGACATGGATTTCTGCACTTTGCTTAATTTCGGCAATCGCAAATTTTAGAAAATTACAGCTATTGTTGTATTTCTTTATTGTTCGAAGGCGTTTTGCATTTAGTTTTTGCGTTTTCACGTGCATCATAAAGAGGAAACTTTTGACATGTGAATATTTTCATGAAAAATTCAAACGTTTTCAAACAAATAATTAAGCTGTGATGAAAATAGATAGCAAATCGATGTACTCACCGTTAAAAAGGGCTGTATTAACAACGCCTCCGACTACAGCAACCCCTAAACCGAGCCCTGCAAGCTTGTTAAAGAAACTGGCCGCCATCTTGTCTTCTTCGACCACGTGAATGATGAAATTCTAACCTCGATGTGAAGAGGTGGAGGACAATGAATTTGTCTTAGGGAGGGGTGGCAAGGGATGATTTAGAATTATCACAAAAATATGCTAGAATAAGTAAAGCACAATAATTTTTCTTTAAATGACCAAAATTCTTTTAATTTAATTTTTGCATTGGACCTAGAATAGGCATTCAGGAGACTTCTTGGAAATAATAAAATGAAGACTACCTGCGGGCTTCCTGTGGTTTAAGGTCCCTTTGTCAGTTCAAGAAAAAAATCTTTATTTTGTATACACCGAAAGTTTGACAATTATTTTGTTAAGAAGTCTTTCAATTTTCTTACGGTAATATAAAGAATTACATTTAAGTTTATTTTATTTAAGAAGATAATCGTTAAAGAAGGCATCCATTCCTGGGTGGGTTTCCTGTGTGTTGAGCCCATGATGCTTACCGCTGGTTTCATCTTAGGGTTGGACGAGCGAGATTTGAGGGCCGACATGTGAGTGGCCTCTTTGCTTTGCCTTGGAATCGGAATGGTGGGTTTTCAAATTCCTCAATAAAAACATTAAGATTATCGCCTCAGAAGCTCAAATTTTACCATTTGTTTATCGTTTCATATAACTAAATGTCTATCATTAATGATAACCTCAATTTTATTGGTCATTTTTGCCTCTGATATCGAAATTTTGAGCGTAGAAGTTGATCTGAAAATCAAAATGGCTTCTCTTAAAGAACCACATGGCTTTATAGAACGTTACCGTAAAATAACTTTTTGATACTTCTCTCTTAGAAATCACTGAATTTTTAGTTTTCAAACCTTTTAAAAGTGAACTTTTTTCTTCTATTTGAGAAAGAAAAGATGAACATATTTGGAAAGATTGTGAAGTGAATCATCAGAATAAGCTTAAACTTAGAGGTCTATCTTTTTAGCTCATTTGTCATGGCTTTTGTTTTAGACTCAAAAGAGGCGAAATTGTGGGCGCTCCAAACATGGACGTGGACACGTCAAGTTTGTCCGTTGCACCAACTGTGCTAGGTGTGTACCTAAGGACAAGGCCATTAAGAAGTTTGTGATCAGAAACATTGTAGAGGCTGCAGCTGTTAGAGATATTGCTGATGCCAGTGTGTATGAAGGTAAGATACACTATTCATACAACGATTGAGGGGGGCATACTTTGAAATATCCCACAAGCATTTTGGGTACCTCTAGAACATGGATGTTGATTATCGTGGATGCGAGGCTAGCATCATTTCCAAGCTAGCTTCACATTCAAGATAATTTTAGAAAATAATGTAATTACAATAGAAATACAGCATCAAGTTTTGAAGAAAAAAATGATCCTTCAAAGAATAGAAAACAACAACAACAAACGAACAAACAAGAAGGGAGATTGGAGAGGCAACTTAGGACCCCAAAATATGCTTGCATCTTTTCCATGCCATCAGTTTCTCTCTACTGTAATTCTTCGTTTGCACGTTACGTCATCACGGCCATGTTCGTACCATTTAACTAAAGATTTGTCATTAGCATCCATTGTTAACGGTACCACAATGGCCGCCATGTTTTTGTCTTTTAACTCTCTTGGAAATGCTTGCAACCCATCAATTATTGCTACTGTAATTGTTGTAGTCATTTTATTTCTTGTTTATTTCAGTATATGCTCTTCCAAAACTATATGTTAAGCTTCACTACTGCGTGAGCTGTGCAATCCACTCCAAGGTTGTCCGAAACAGATCCAAGGAGGACAGAAGAATCAGGACCCCACCTCCAAGGTTCCAACGCAAGGTAAAGCTTTCTCACTAAAGCACATTGTAAAAGATCTGGTCATTGGATTTGTTTTAATCCTGCAGCTGTGGATTTTAAGATATCCTGGTGATGTAGGGTTAAAGAAATGAATTTGAATTTTTGAAGGGTGGTGGCAAATCTCTGAATATCTAAAGCTCATTTTTTGACCGATTTATATGGAGAAAAGTTTTCTCAGGGACCCAGTACAGCCCTCCCTACTGATTTACCCTCAGCAAGCTAATTTTTCATGCATCTATTGAATGATCCCATATACTGTTTATATGAGAAATGGATTTGAAGACTGGTGAGGGGATACAAAGAATAAAGCACTTAGTAACAGTATGTTAGATCAATCATGATACATCAATGCATTGGTATGGGGCAAATTAGATTTCTTTCCATAATGAGCTGCAAAAATATGTTTGGATTTTCTATTATAAAATTGCTTGTGCAAGAATGAATTTAATCTCTATCAATAATTTTTCTGTTACATATTATCAAATATTTGAGATATAAAGTGTGTGCTGATTGGCTGGCTAGCTTGTTTATATCAAAGGACAGAGACACGCTGCTTGTACAAATTTGTTCAAAAGTATTTTTGTCTCTGCACTGTAAACATGTTGGGAGCTGTATAGCATTCGAAAAGCAAGGAGCACTCAGCTATGCCTCCATGTTCCTAAGCTTGCTTCTCTCATAATAATAAATAATAATAATATTATTATGCAGTTCCAACCTGCAGTACAGCTCCCAGCATGTTCATATCACAGTACATAGACATGCACACACGTGTTAGTGAACATTATTTGATCATATTTTATTGTTTTACTTTTTTAGTCTGAGGGACAGAAGCCCCAAGGTCCTCCCGGTACTGCTGGTGGACCAAGAAACAACTAGAAGATCTGTTTAGATTGTTAATTTGAATGTTCCTCATTGACAGCCAATAAAAATCTTTACTTGGAAGTATTAATTGTTCTTTTGTCTCAATGCTCAAGAGGTTTTGCACCACCATGTGACAAAAGTCATGCTAGATGGCAGGAGCAATAATTTATTGTTTTACAAGAGAAAAAATTCAATTTGCAACAACAAAAGGATTTTGTTGTTCTGCCATCTGACTATAGGCAGGTCAAGCTGTAGAATGGGTGTTGGCACATGATGGTGCGAAACCCCAATATTCTATTTTACAAAACTGTTCAGGGGTTTCAATAAACTGCAATGCTTTGATTGCCTTATTTCAATGTGATGTCAGCTCATTTACAAAAAGGTCCAAATGATGAACAGTAGTTTGGACTCATTTTACTCTGCAGCTGAATTGATACAATGTAGCTCTGATATGTCTGGTTTTCAAACATTTTATAAACCAGTTATCCTACACTATATGACACCCAATAAAAAATTACAATAAAAAACCCTTTTCTAATGCAAGTCTATTGCTTTTGGACTTGACAATCTTCTAGAGTGAAGCCATTAAACCTGTGAAATAGCTTTTAGACTAATACACTTAAGTAGACTTTAATGCCATTGCTTTCTTTTGTGTCTATTTGACTATTTCAAGTTGACTAATAATTTTTATTTCACTCATTAAATGCCTTCACTCTACCCCATCCCAAACAACTAACCTTTTTTAGTTATTTAAAATTTCTCTATCCCATGTAGTTTAGTTAACACAAGGTTTGAAATTTGTAACTAACCTCATTTAGTCATTAATTTCTCTATCCAATGACCTTTTTTTGCCGCCATCTTCCCAGAGGTAGTTTAGTTTAATAGCACACATGTTTTGAAATTTGTTAAGTTAGCTGTGCACATTACAAAAATGGCCACTAGTTTGATTCAACGATTTTTAAACATGTCTGGTATAAACGGGGTATTCATTTAAACTTCCTGGTTCTCAACAATTTCAAGTGGTATTGTACTAAAAATACTTCTGTGTTTCGCTTGATATTTCTTGCCTCAGGGAAGTAGAATAAATAAATAAACCAAGCCGTGGTATCCCTGTGGTAGTTCGTACCCACTCTCCCTCACACATCAAAACAAAATGGCGGACGAAACATCGAGAAAATAGGAGAAAGTGAAAGTGAATCAAAAGTTACTCAATCAAGCGTCATTTATTGTTTTTCAAGGTTGGTCGTTTTCAAGGGATGGGAAGGCGCCTTGATTGTCTCTACTATTTACTGTATTAACACAGCTAGTCTCAGTGTTTATCGACTGACAAGGACAAAATGAATCAAAAAAGGAAAAGGCCCCACGAGGACTCCTCCGGCCAATCTTCAAACTCTTATGCTCCTCAACATAAAAAGGTGTTCGTTGCTCCGAAAGGTTGGTTAATTGTACTAGCTATGTTAGCAGCTCATACTTTGTGAATATGGAAACTAAGAATCTTATAGAGAAAATTCAATGTATTAGCTTACTGATGACGCTTCTTATGCGATGCGCTATAACTATGTCCCGGTTATGTTCAACAGAAATAGTAAAGAATGGGCTAAATAAGCTTAAGCTTATTTCTGTTTTCTCGACACAACCTTGCGACGTTTATTTTTCTCTCCATTTATTATCACTATTTCTTTGAGAAACAGCTGAATCAGCTGAATCAAGAATCGAAGGTTTAGTCATAGTATATAGTCATACATTGCAAACACTTCTAGAACAAAGTCATTAAACCCATTARATAGATACTAGACTAATACACATTATGAAATAACTGTTATAAATCTCACATTCTGATTGGTTGGGAGTGCATGCTTTATCAGAGCATGCAGCATGTACGCACCCTTTACATTTTATAAAAGAAATAAAAAACTTGCTGTGCTGTGTAGAGTTATAAAGCAGGTGAGGATTGGCAGAACACTTGAGAAGTGCACTGATAACTGCACTCAGCACGCACTTGTGTTATATGTAATATAAATCCAGGTGTGAACAATAAATCAAACTAATAATTGGTTTTAATATTGATTGATGAAAATTTGTTAATTATTCCCTTTTTAACACAAGGATTGTCAAGCTCTGAATCTGAAGATGAATCAAACTCGCCAAGCCTAAATACACCATCATATGCAGCATTTTTAATGCGGGAGAATAAAGAAGAAAATGAGTCAAAAGAACAAGGAACGTCAGAAACGCAAGGCCAGTACAGTTCCTTTGCGCAGCGGCAAATGGTAGGCTATCTTTATTATCAATATCCATAAGCTCAAATGCATTCTGCTCTAGCTTGGGTGCAAAAAAACTATACATATAAAGAACCAAAGAAGTTTGCACCCAATCTCTACTAGAATGCACCATGTCTGTAAGCTATCTCAGGAAATGGTCTGTTAATAATTAGGAATGATCTCCAGCCTAAGGTCTACCCTACCCACCAACATCCAAGCCATGACCTCCTCTGTTGGGGAGTTATGGATAATTATCTGTTTGAACTACATAAACAAAATAGGCTTTACAGACCTGCTATACTGTATACTGTATCCTTGCATATATTCGTATTCTGCTCTGTGAGGTGGTATAGATTTTTCCAGGGTATTCACAATATCATTTCCTCAGATGATCCCTATGTATATGTATGTATGTACTGCATGCATGAATGCATATTTTCATTATTCATAACTATGTATTTTTTTGAATACAGGAAAGTATGGGGTACAAGGCAGGAGAAGGTCTTGGCAAACGTGGTCAAGGGATGTCAGATATTCTTGATACAACGATGCGCAGAGGGCGCAGAGGTCTTGGTTTTGAAATAGAAGGCTTCGATGAAGTAAAAACTCCTTGGATAGAGGACGAGGTAAGAATTTGCCGTATTATTCAATGTTTATATACGGAGGTGATTAATAATAGAATATAGTTATGTTTCATAATATATCATGTCACAGTAATCAAATTATGGGCAAGATCCACGACTTTCGTGATATGAGGTAAACAATAAGGAAGAGGGCCRGAATGAGAACATAATTACCAGGGGAGAATTTGGGGCAAGACTCAGTTTCTGAAGCTCTGAACAACATTGTATCACAATGCATAAACCATGTCGGTCTGACAGTTTTAAGTAAAATAAGATGAAAACAATTCCGAGTATGGAAAGCATCGTTATAAATCCAAGATTTGGATCAAAGATGACAAGATGTAGAAATGCAATATTTCAACTTTATTCAAGTCATACTCAATCTTATTTTCACGCATAAGTATTCCTTTTCATCTTATTGTAGCAATGCATGTATTGAGAGTTAAATCCTACTGCTCTGAGCTAATCAATCATTTAGTGAGAATTATAATTCCATAATAATTGACTAGTCCATTATAAATTTATACATCTTATAGGTAGTTATAGATGAGAGACGAGAAGCAATTCCATCGTGTGACCTACCCCCACCAACAGAGGAGGAGATGCAAAATTGGTGCCAAATCGGCAAGGTAAAACATGTAAATTTAAGCTTTACACTCATCGTTTCCTGTAAGGCACTCATATTTGTTTTCCCCATCCATCAAGGTTCCATAAAAGTGTCAACTGATTTGTATTTTTAAGTTCTTTAATTTTACTTTTTGTCATGAATATTGCAGTCTTCTCTCTTTCACCACAAACGTATGATGTTTACTTGTAATGCTTTGATTGGTGTTTTTTTTTAGAAAAAACTAACCATAAATGATGAAACAGAATTCTGCAGCCCTGAAGTGTTAGAAGATATACTTTCAAGTAAAGTAAGTTCTATTCTAACTACCGAATTAGGAAACATAAGGGAAGCAGAGTTTGAATTTCACAAGCCAAGGAACTGTATGAGGTCAAAAGATGGGACAGGAGGGGTTGGATTAACCAGTACTAGCTACTATGAATGTGTAGGGTAGCAATACAAGCAACACTGGTTCTGCAGTCTGCAAATATGTGACAATGTGCAGCATGCACAAATTTTGTCACCGATATCATGTTAGTCCATTGAGGTTAAATGTAGAAACAACCCTGAAGTGTTGACAACGCTGAAATCGGATCTAGAGGGGTTTATCTGAGCCCTCTAGACCATGATTGAGCCCCCTATATGACAACTACTAACCCTCTGTTAGATCACCCATTTGTGATCTAATTAGAGGGTTAGTACAATAAGTTAGATTAGCTTGTTTTATGGTTCTTTTTTAATTTGGTTTGCAAGTTCAAATCCCTGAATGGAAATAGTGGATCTGCTCCTGCAACCAGTACAGCAAATAGAAGAATTCTTTACTTTTTATTATATGTGTAGAGTGTGTTTGATGCCCTAACTGGCATGGAGTTTCTCAAAGCAAGGACCAGAGCAAACCCTTATGAATTCATCAAGAGCGCTATATTCCAAAACAGGTATCACATTATATATTATTTAAATTTTAGCACATTATCTATTTTTATTATAATTATAAATAATGGGAAATGCAAAATGCCTTGACTTCAATTTTTGATTTGTTGATTTTTCAGAGCTGCTGTGAAGATGGTGAATATGGACTCTGCATTTGATTTTATGTTCACTAATCCAAGGAACAGAAAGGGGGTTCGTAATACTCTCCATTGATAATAATAGACCTAATTTGTCATGGTGCAATGTTTTCCCATCCATTACAGACCACTTGTCATTGAACAAAGAATGAGATTCTCTGTTTGAGATGTGTTTGAAATGGGAAAACATTGCATCATTACAAATTTGGTGTATTACAGTGTGAATCAAAAAAAACAAAGGCACCTAGAAATATTTCAAGAATGTTCAATAGCCAATCAGAAGCGTTATCTTTCCATTATCTTTTGGTTAGAAAGTCAATTCTGATCGGCCAAAAAAGTATAAAACTCTCCTAGAACATTTCTAGGTGCCCACGGTTTTTCAATTCAGTTATAAAATAACTGTTATGACGCGTTCTGATTGGTTTGGAGCGCGTGCTTTATGAGAGCACATTGCATGCCACACACTTTCCGTTGCGTCATTCCTATCTATTATTGTAATTTGTATCTTATAAAAGAAATAAAAAACTTGCTTGCTGTGCTGTGTGCAGTCATAAAGCATGCAGAGGTTGGCAGAACACGAGAGAAGTGTTAGGAGAAGCGGAGTGCTTCTCGACACTTTTGGAGTGTTCTGCCAACCCCCGCGTGCTTCATGACAGCACACAGCACGTGCGTGCGTTTTCTATTTCTTCAATATGAATTAAATCAGTTTTGTTTGTGTTATTTTGAGATTATGTTTAATGTAAATGTTTTTTTCTTTGTAGGAAGAAATTGTTGGCACACATGAACTGCTGTACTTTGCAGACATCTGTGCTGGTCCTGGAGGTTTCTCGGAGTATGTCTTGTGGAGAAAAAAATGGAAATGTAAAGGATTTGGCCTTACGTTAAAAGGTACCACAGGAATTTCTTTAATGAGTGGGAAACATCAGATCCCTTGCACTAAATCCAAATTCAAGAGTTAAGACAAAAGATTTCCCTTCGATTGAGGATTGCGATCTTAATGTAAAAGGTCAATATCTAAATGGCAAGCTTGTAGTCATATAGAGAGAATAAGAGAAAAATATCAAAAGCCCTTCTGAATTCTAGTCCGATGTGTTAACCACTGGTCCTTGTAGTGTAGTATTTAACACATCGGACTAGAATGCCGCAGACTTGGGTTCGATTCCCGCCAAGGATATTTTTCTTTTATTCTCTCTATTTCATTACACACACCGAACGCATAACTTATTACTACTATACTATGTCTATTCTTATTGTAGTCATGTAGACTGTTATTAACAATGAATCATTCATCTTTCCCCTAATAACTCAGTCGAGATGTGTTTTCCCCTCCAACTTGGCAGTGCAGGGAGTGGCCTCTCCCCACGCCCCGCAGAACCAAAACAGGAAAAAAACCTGACTCAACTTAGGAGGGACAAGAGGGACTGTTAAACAGTGTATAGGAGTACTGTAGACATATTGTTCAGTGTTTGAACTGGTAACACTATGCATTGTGATTGGATCCTTTACACGATAGCAACATATTAAGAAGATATTTCATTGCTATCTCATTTCATAAGAAAGAAACAACCTGTCCTCTTAATTCTAAATTCTTTTTCCTCCAATATTATAAATTCTTCATCCTAATATTTTCTCCCAACTATAAGCCCTCCCAGTTATAAGCCTATCAAAATCATTTACAAAGGTACAGTATAGCTAGGATATTACAGTATGCTTCCCACTTAATATATTAAAAATCATCTAAATAAATTATTGGAAAATTTATAATTAAATTGGAATAATATTTTTTAGGAGATTGTGATTTTAAGCTTGAAAACTTCCTTGCTGGAACTCCAGAAACATTTGAACCGCACTACGGTACGTAATCTATAGTCAGTAAAACGTTAGATCAGTGCCCAGTTTGCCAGATGATGTTTGAGCTATTTTTAAATTTGTTTAGGTAAGGTACGTTTTTTTTATTGTGGGGGGAGGGCTGGGGGATTTGCAGTAATTTTTTTAGATTGACCCTCTTATTAAGACAACAAGGAAACAGTTTTTGTCAAAATAAAAAGGTCTGACCCTCTTTACTGATGACCCTCTGAACCCCCAGTCCTCCTCCCTACGGCCCTCGGAACCCCCAATGAAAACGTACCTTGCCTCCTATGACAGTACTCTGCGGACTGGCATGTGCAAGGCAGGCCCATCCTGGGAGCATTTACGAGGAAGTAATGTTGTGCTTTTTTAAAGCAATATGTTTTGATTGTTATTATTTAATATGTACCAATGCAGGCCAATTGAATACTACTTTATCTTAATTATTAATTAATTAATTTAACCCAACAAAAAATGTACCTTTCATTACCAAGTGAATCCCACTGACTCCTCCCTGATAAAAAAAGAATGGTCCCAAGTATGAAGTCATATTATTATTTTGTTCAGGTGTAGGAGGTAAGGATGGTGATGGTGATATCTTTAACGAAGACAACCTCGAAGCCTTTAAGGACTTTGTGATGGATTCAACAGATGGGAAAGGTGTTCATTTTGTGATGGCCGATGGGGTAAGAACAACTTATATAAGTCTGTTGTTGATCGATGTCTGTCTGACTGACTGACTGACTGACTGACTGACTGACTGACTGACTGACTGACTGACTGACGGGCGGGCGGGCAGGTAGGCAGAGGGGCGGACTGATGGATTGAAAAAGAGAGGGATGGAGAGACAGAAGGATGGACAAACTGACTAAATGGAATAAAATAATGAGGTTATTGCTCTCAACTCTCATACATATTTATATGTGATTGTAATCCATAGGGATTCTCAGTTGATGGACAGGAAAATATTCAAGAGATTCTCAGCAAGCAGCTTTATCTCTGTCAGTTTCTCTGTGCCTTGTCTATTTTGAGAGAAGGTATGTTGTTTGAACAAGTTAATTCAAGTGGTTTACCTAATAATAATAATGATGATGATGATGATGATGATGATGATGATTTATATAGCGCCCTTAAAGTGCAAATGAACCCTTCGACAATACTTGCAGTACTGATTCTACACGAAGTAAATAGTTGAATGGTAAAATATTTCTTGATTTGAGTGATGTGTCTCTATTTCCTTTATGCAAAACCAGTACTGAACGTATTGTCGAAGGGTTTAACTTTAACTATGCACGTGGATATAATCAAAAACGCTTTACATGTAATTGTGAATGACAGAATGATTTTTGCATGCAATTTACAAACATGAGAGATGGTTAGTATGAAGTAGAGGCACTGAGGGTGGTCACTGCCAGGGTTTCTTTTTACGTCCTCAGTGCTTCTTTTATATCYCCCATTTACTGTAGGTAAATAAATAGGTAATTAGGTAAGGATTCCCTAACGGTTAGGTAACTAGAGTAGCGATCTCCTAACGGTTAGGTATTTCA